CTTTCAACAAACAGCTCATTATCTAATGTCTCAAATGCTCCCAAAAAGGGATTTTCATATAAAATAATTATTATGCAAAAACTCATTTTTTTCTCAAAGTTTTAGACGAGATTTATGATTTGTATTATACTTAATTAAGTCCTATCGATCAATATGTGAATATAGATGCTGTAGGATATGGTTACAGCCGAAAACATCGCGGACGAAAACGTCGTGGAGAAAACAACGCAAGCAGAAAACGTCGTGGTACAAAACATCGCTGGAGAAAACATCGCAAAGAGAAAAAATTGCAATTCTAAAACATCGTGGTAAAAAATATCGTGGTAAAAAATAAAGCGGTTCAAAAACTTCGCAGTTTAAAAACACCGTTGTTAAAAATATCGTGGTAAAAAATAAAGTACATACAAATCATCGCGTGCCGATAACATCGCATACATGGGTTTTTCAAATCGCATAGTGATATGTTATGTAACTGAATGTCGTCATAACTAACAAATCGACATCCAAAAAAATGATTGCATGCTGTACATGAAAATGTTAACGACCCTTTAAGAATAAACGGAAACAAAACAATATATAATTTTCACTAAAACATTATCAGATTAACAAATGTGAAAGAAAATAATTGGATCATTAACTAAGCAATTTTTATAGAGGTAACCTTATACAGTTATTTATCTTCCTTTTTCTAAGCATTTTTAGACTGTACATTTCATGAAAAATTGTCAGTTAAACTTTATAAAGAAAGCTTAATTTATTAATGATCTTTGTTAATTAAGTATATAAATTTAAAATTCTATTACGTTTTTTAAGTTGCATTAATTTTCTACTTATTTTAAGTTTTTAAATGCTTAAGTTTCCTTCTTAATTTTTCAGCAAAAATTTATTAGTTCGTTCAGATATCTGAAATATAAAAGTAAAAGAATCCGTCTTTCCTTCTTGAGCTCTATGATCTCTTTACGAACATGATTTGCATCTTTCAAAAACCTGAAAACGCATGTGTCCGATGTTATCGTCCTGTGATGATTTGTAGGTACTTTATTTTTGACGACGATGTTTTTTAAACTGCGAAGTTTTTGAACCGCTTTATTTTCGACCACGATATTTTGTACCACGGTGTTTTTAGAACTGCGATGTTTTCTCTTTACGATGTTTTCTCACACAATGTTTTTTACCACGACGTTTTCTCCTTGCGTTGTTTTCTCCGCGACGTTTTCGTCCGCGATGTTTTCGGCGGACACCGCAGGATATACTCGTGAGCTCAAAGTTTTATCAAAATGTCTAAAATTAAGATCTAATAACAATTTTATTACAAGTATTAATTCTGCACTTTTTATATTATTTTCATTTTATGAGTTATTTATAGGAGATTACAGTTACTATTGAAAATAACCAGAAACTTACATAAATCTCTACCTATAATAAAGGAAAGAGTCTGTGTGTCTTTCGTTCGTGCTGAGCCTAAGCTAATAGATCCAGAGCTATGAAATTTGGTATATAGATGCATCTAGACAAGAGCCAGTGCACCTCAAAGCGATTTTTTCAAAATTCGAATCAGATTTTTTAAAATTTTATCTTTTCAATTTTATCGCATCATTTTTGAATAGTTTCATTCTTTTAAAAAAAGTGGTTTGGGCAATAGATTTTCATTCAATTGTATACAGGACTGATGGCTGTTGAAAATCAGCACTGTTGCTACTTGGAAAAATAAGGGCGATGATTCTGTGCAGTTTTTGAATTTAATGTTTCTCTTGGATACTGGACTTTTGTTGATAGAAGGCAATGCGAAGTTAGTTAATTTATTTATTAGGATAATTAGTATTTGTATTAAGGGATATTGCTTATTTCATTGTAATTTTGTTATATGTAGGTAGGTAGGTAGGTTACGGAGGACTGGAACGCCTGGTGTCTAACAGAGGTAAACAGGCATGTGTTCCAAACCCTCCTCTAACTACGGCAAAAGCTTCCTGGAACCACACGAGGCTGCACCAGGAGATTATTGAGGTTGTCAAAGGGAAGTACATGGCCTTACAAGGGCATTAGTAGGATTGTCTTACAGTTTGAAGAGGAAAGCTGTGGTGTTACAGATAGTAGGTAGTTAAACTAAAAATACTTGGATAATAAGACGCATTTTAAAAAAAAAAAAAACATAAAAATGCATAGGCAACAATACACAAAGCACAATGCGTAAAATGCATAAACAGAGAGCACAAAAAAACAGGTACATACACATAGTCACTTAAGGCACAAAAAGATAAATGGAGTACATGAAGTCACATGAAAGCTGGAGTACAATGTTAGTGTAAGGCAGTTCTGTTGGATATAAATACAAGTACATCTTGAATGATGAATAATGATGAGTTCATGAATACTCATGTGTGCAGAAGAAGAGTGCGGTTAGATTGCTAAGGCGTTGATTATTGTAGCATCGCTAAGAACATAGATAAAAAACACTGATAAAAGGCACGAGGATGTTGTAGCACTAATTATTGGGCAGTGCCCCAGCAATGTGTGCACCGTGAGGCACACAAGCGTTCACTAACACTGCGTAAGAAGATGTTGTTCACATGCTGTTGAAGGGATTACACACGTATCATTATGGAGGCATAACACATCTCTCTAAGGAGATGCCACATATTTGCGAATTGTTAGTATTGCCACTTTAGATTGTGGGCAGGGGAGCTTAAACACACAGTTGTGGTGAAGCCCAGATATTGTAAAATTCACTGGACTAGTCTTAGAGCTTATCGTCAGTACACCATAGCGTCATTTTAGCACGGTAGGCAAAGGTCTGTGCCCAATGCCGCGATGGTATTCATGATGCTGGAGATTGAATTAACCGCTCCTTTATGCGTTATAAGGAACCGGTGATAGGCGTTCCTATTTGTAGGTAGCGGAGATGGTGTGCAGCCGTCAAGGGACATTCAAATACGTAATGGTCTGGTGACCCTTCTGATCCACAGACACAGATATCTGTATTTGAGATGCCGTGGCGATTGTAATAGCTGGGAAACGGGCCGTGACCCCGTGATGAAGTAGGTGAGAGGTGCTACGGCAAAGAGTCGATCGGCGGAAACTTTCGGGAGGTAGGTAAAAGTCCGTCTGCCTGTCTCGCATTCGGTCCACTCACGTTGCCATTGGTGCATTCCTTGCTCTCGTAGGAGGCCCTTTAGATAAGAGCAGGGCGCAGGTACGGTGATGGGTTGGGCTGTCGGGTTGGAAATTGCATCTTTGGCCAACGTGTCAGCAGCCTCGTTGCCCTCGTTATTCGCATGGGCTTTAACCCAGACTAGATTGAAATGGTAATGAGGGTGTTGCATAAGGAGATGTTGGAGACTGAGTATGAGAGGTGAGACATGATGATGGTTCTCAAGTGCAAGTAAAGTTGAAAGGCTATCGGTATAGATATTTGCTCGTGGGATCTGGCAATCTATGAGATGTTGCACTGCTGCCGTAATTCCCAGTACTTCCGCCTGGAAGATGCTATTGTGAGTGCGAAGTTGTCCTTGCCAGTCGTGTACAGTTTTGCCATTCTCATAGTGCACAAAAGCACTGCCTACACCATTCTCCTGCTTTGAACCGTCTGTGTAGATCTGGTTCCCATTCCGTGGTGCGTGTGGTGTGTCGAGGTGTGAGTCTGTTGCTTGTCAATTTTGATGTGGGTTCCACTTCCTCTGAGAGCTGGATGAGTATGGGTAGAAGTGGAGGGACGTTCGAACTGGACTGGACTGTAGCTGGTATTTGCGAAAGTTGCATCTTTGCGTAGATGGATCAATTTGGTAAAAGTTGCCTCCATCTCTGCTTTTATATGGAGTGGTAATATGCCAGCTAGAACTGTTGCTGCACTGGTGGCGGTTGTGCGGTAGGCTTTGCTTAATTGCAGGGCGAAGGGGCGTTGTAGCGTTGTAAGTTGCCTGATCTTGCGAGTACCCATTGGCTGCGCCCAGATCACTGCAGCGTATAAAGCTATTTTTTCTACAACTGTGAGGTATAGCACTTTTTGGATGTGGGGGTTTTGGCCCCAGTTGCAACCTTGAAATTGTCTTGCTATGCGGGCGATAATTGACGTCTTGTTTCTGGTTTCCATGATATGCGGAATCCAAGTGAGACCTTGGTCCCATACTACCCCTAAATACTTGAGATTCCGCGCAATTTTGATGTTTCGGCCTAGGAGTTTTATGCATGGACGACGAGTTGGATTGGTACCTCGTCTGGGAATTATTATTGCTGACGATTTTTCTATGGAGATCGTGAGCTTTAATTTGTTGCATGCGGTGGTAAATAAGGTGCAGGTCTCTGTGCTGTTGCGTTCCAGTTCTTTCCTGGTGCGTCCTCTTACGAGCAGGGCTACGTCGTCTGCATAAGCAGTGATGTTTGTATGCTGTGGCCAGTTGGTTTCAAGGACTGAATTGAAGGTGAGGTTCCAGAGTGTCGGTCCCGCACAGGACCCCCTGCGGACAACCTTTTTCTTGTACCTTGGATGTCGTACCGTCGTTATTTACAAGCTCAATATGGCGGTCGTGGAGGTAGCTGTTGAAGATGTTGAATAGGTTGGAGGGGCAGTGTGCTCCTCTGAGGGCCTGCTTAATTGCTGGCCACCAGAGGGTGTCGAACGCACTCTTTAGGTCTATAGAAATGAAGGCTGTGTGCATGTCGCTGTTTTTATTGCGTAGTATTGTTATCCTGAATATTGTAAAGGGCATGTGTCGTGGAAAATCCTGTGCGGAATCCATACTGCCGGGGGCTGAGATGGTTAATTCTGTGCAGGTGGTGCTTGAGCCTGTTAACGAGGAGTTTTTCATAAATCTTGCCTAAAGCAGAGAGGAGGCAGATGGGCCGGTAAGAACTTGGGTCTTGTGGGTTCTTATTCTTTTTAAGAAAGAGAACGACATGTCCTCTTTTGAAGGCTGCTGGAAAGATTTGTTGGTGAAGAAGCTGATTGAAGTAGGTCTTAAAGAATGAGGGGCGCGCTTTATAAGCTGTATGGATGATTGAATAATCTAAGCCGTCAGGTCCTGGCGCTTTTTTCCGAGGAAGGTGACGGAACAGCTGTTTGATTTCTTTATCGCTAAAGAGTAGGTAAAGGGTACATCGGGAGGTGTCGCAGGAATGGTGGTGTTATTGCGAACCTTTCGTTGTTCTATCGTGTCCTCTTCTGGGTCATCGTTTGAGAAGACGGTGTCCAGAATGGTGGAAGCTGTGCTCTGCACGATGTTGGTGGTAGAATCCATGGTGGGTTGTGCGTGGATCTGGGCCGGGTTAAAAATCTTATTCGACGAGATTTTGTGTAGGATCCCGTAAGGATTGTTGTTGTTGGTACAGAAGGTGCGCCAGCTGGTGACTTTAGCCGTGATGATGTTCTTTTTGTATGCTGCACGCTCTTTACGGTATGTCATGAGTAGGTGTGTCTTTTCTTCTTCGTTAATAGTGGCGCGGAGACGTCGTCGAAGGGCTCTGCATTTTTGCCTTTGCTGCCTCAGCTCTTTGGTCCACCAGCTGACAACCTGTATTTTCTTGGCCACACGGATAGGAAGGTGATTTTTGCATGCTTCGTGTAAGATTTCTATCAGATGATTCGTGTAGTGCTCCATGCCGTCCGGGCTGGTGAAGTTGTAAATGTACTTTTCTTCTTCTCTGAGTAAGCGAGTGAAGGTGTGGGTAATGGGACGAATCTTATTGCTTGGTAACTTAAAACGTCGTAGGATAGTAATGGAGGTGTCGCAGTCTACTTGAAAATGGATGTACTTATGGTCTGAAGCACTTTCCTCGTCTAAGATGGTCCAGTTTTGGATGAAGGATGCTATGCTGCTTGTAGATATGGTGAGATCCGGCCAGCCCTTTCCGTAGGTACTATCATAGGATGGTGGCGCATTTGGTGCGTTCAATAGCTGCAGGTCTTGGATTGCTAGGAAGTCTTCGAGTTCTTTTCCTTTCATTGTGGTGTCTGCGTAACCCCATATGGAGTTATGCGCATTGAAATCACCACCTAGGAGGAGTGGTGTGAAAGGATACTTTTCCTTGGTTTCCTGTATGTTGACGATGGCGTTACTGATGTCTTCCGTGGGGGAAGAGTAAACAGAGGCAGCGATGATTTGTATGTTGTTGTAAACGAGTAAAATGGCGATGTAGTCTCTTTTGAGTGTGATAACGAGAGGGAACCAAGAAGGATTGCAACAGGCGATAACTGCTCTGGGGGCTTGATCATTCGTACCTGCTTGTGATTGAAAAATTTTCCAGGCTGTTGGAAGGCTGGCTACACGACGATCTTTACAGTATGGTTCTTGTATGAGAAGGAGGTCCAGGTTGTGGGTGATGACATGCTGGACCAGTTGGGAGGCAGCTGCTTGAGCTCTTTGTAAATTGATCTGAGCACAGCGTATTGGTTCATCTTGTCTTGGGAGTCTTGAGTGATCTTTGTCTTGAGTGATCTTTGTCTTGGGAGTGTCTGTGATTGCTGTTGTGAGGATATCGTTGCTGAAATTCTGTAAATCATCCATAGGTGGTATTGCATTTAATTCTGCTGATGTACCGTCCATAAGTTGGGCAGGTGACATCGTAGGCTGGGTGGTTGCAGGGTGATTTGCTTTTTGTGCGGTAGTTGTAATCCGCACAGTTGATGCAAGTGGCCTTTTGGGATTTGCAATCTGTGATCTTGTGATTGCCTGAGCAGTATGAGCAATATGCTTTGTTTTTGCAAGTATGTAATAATTTTTTTATTTGTGGGTATGTTTTTTTAATGAAGTTGTTCTGCAGAGTAAAATTATGCGTAGTTTTTAAATTTAACGTTTGGCCCTTCAGTCATTTTTCCGGTACATTTAAAACCAGACGAAGGCTGGCCGCGTAGCTGGTAGTATTTTATATAACAATATATAACAAAGTTTATCCTCCTGCTTCATAGTGAGTTGGGTAACCAAATGACGTAATAATTAATAATTACGATTTCATTATGCTTTTATCCAAAACAAAAAATATCTTTTGTGAAAATATACATAACTTTCTTGAACGGAATAATAAATTATACAAAAATGTTTTGCTGCATTCCATGTAAACTTTATTTCCTCGAATTTCATTAAAGATATATTTCTCATTTAATTAGTTCGATTCTCACTTTCCAGCAAGGAAAAAATATATAAAAATCAAAGCATCTTCGTTAATAATTGTATAATACAGGAAAACATAAAGCACCAAATATAGTTAAAAACAGTTAAAAATTTTTTTAAAATTAAAATCAGAGTTCTTAAGCAAAATAAAGCAATTCGGACAGCAGTCAGGAAGACGAATTTTTGGGAAGGGTGACAGAGTGGGTGTAACAGAACCGGGTAACAGAGGGGTGTGTGTGTATATATATACGTTTGGTGTGACCGTATTTGAGTTATGCGTGATACGTACATACATACGTACGTATGTACAGACGTCATCAAAAAAGTCTCTTCTGAATCCATTTTAACCGGTCCCCATTTTAAAACTAACTTATCTAAACTTTAAATATATTTTAAATTTGTTTTGAAAAAGCAAGAGTCCTCTATTCTACCCATACGTACAGATGTCACGCAAAAGCATTGTTTAAAGTGATTCAAGAGCTGTCAAAACGGATATTTTCGTTGAAATAAGACACCCAAAATTTTTCGCGATTGCAATACTTCCTTTACTTCGCACGTTAAACTAAGAAGCATTGTTTTATCAAATTAAATGCTTTTTGGTTAAAATTAATATCGAAGTTGCATATCAAATCAATTTATAATGCATTCTTCATAAATTAATTTAACAGTTATAGAGCTAAATGAATATTATATTTACGTATTTTTTCTTTTTATTTTAATGTGACTGTATCCAGTAACTGTGGATCTAATAGAATAACTTTTGAAAATAATTCAGATAATCTGAGATAACTGGTTATACTAACTTTTGTCATCACATTGAAAGTCACAGCTCATATATCACACAGGTATATATCACACATTATATAACAATGATAAGTAATGATTGGAAGGTTGGAAGCAAAGAAATATAGCTGAGAAGCAGTAGCGTTGTCTATATCCTATGTAGAATGTATAATTCTTTACTTATCAACTACATTTAAATGATAAACCAGTGCTGCAATAGGCTGCAATAATAAATAATATGCTGCAAGTGCACTTGATTCTCATCAGAAAAAAAAAGTGATTTTGTTTTACCTCCAAAAATAACTATAAAGTTCTATGCAGTCATCATAAGGTTTTTCTATTCGTATTTCCATAAAAGATTCATGCATTGTCAGAAAGTAATACTTCATTCGGTTTATTTTTATTGATGACTCAACTCTTAACTGTTACATTCTTCAACAGATATGTCTGTTAAGTCTACGCCTTTTCTAAGGAGTACCTCATCAGTCTTCCTGTTCAGTGCATTCTTTATATTTAAATTGCATATTTCTTCCCCCTTGAACATTAGGACAAAAGGGAACAGTGGCATCCATTGATAAGTGTCCAAATCTACATAAAAGCTATAGGGGGTGGTATTTATTATGGAGCAAACACACTTTGTTCTATTGTTCTTTTAAAGCAAAAAAAAAAAAAAAAAAAAAAAAGGTGAAAGAAAAAATAAATAAACAAACTAAATAAAGCTAGGCGGAGTTCCCAAAAAATATTCCATTTTTCAAATCTTTTCCCTGCAAGTGTTTTCTTTATTCGAACTTTTAAAGGGATCAAAGGAAATATTTTTAGGCGCTGGAGGGAAGGGGGATGCAGCAAAATCAATAATGACGCCCAACATCTCAGGTCTCTAAATCCTCGAAGACAGTCGAACACATTTGTTGTAGAGGACAATGGAACAAAAGACCGTTATCCTCATACCAGGTCTTTGGTAAATCATTTGGACAGATCCTGATTTATGCAAGCAAACATCAGACGTAAACCTAATGTTTAATGGAACCCTTAAGTCTCCAGCACATTCACACAAATATTGGGCACTGCATAAAAATTTCCTTCAAACGGAAAAAGCCTCCACCCTGCTAAACAACACGCCGCTTGGAATGCCAGCGTTTTCCATGTTACATCAAGTTAAGAAATTATAACTGACCAAATATATGGTACGAAAGTATTCAGACATAATTCCGCGTTCACTTAAAAAATTATTTAAAACTTGAATTTTTTAAAAATATTTGTAAAATTTATTTTCTATAGCATACTGATTCTAAATTAGTTAAAAGATAACACACACACACACATGCGCATGCAAGATGTTTAATTACCAAACTAGTTAAGATTACTAACAGAAAATCAATAACAATTTAAAGAAGTTTGAATTGAATTCAGTAATTACTTGTATGATAACTATTACGTTAATGGTGTATGGTGTTTGTATGTGTGATTATGGCAAAGCCTCGAGGGCTATCTGCCTAAGGGGAGGGATGTCTTTCGTGGAGGACTTTCTAAGGGAAACTGGCTCGTATATACGTTACACATGGGGAAAACCACGAAAACGCCCATGCAGCCAGCCCGTTCGCGGGGTTCGAACCTCGGACCGAACTACCAGTGTTCAGCGACTTTACCGCTCGGCCGCTGGTGGGCCCTATTACGTTAATGATCATTGTAATTATTGACATACCTTACCTGCCATGGGCAAGAAAGTTTATATTGGATGAGGCAATGTTTTTATCTATTCCTTGGTATACTGCATAAAGTCAGAATGAGATGTTGATGGCTAGATTTTGTAGTAATGTTCCCAAGAAATGCGAGAAACAACAAATGGCGGCAAAGTATCTGTATGATTAACAGTGGCTGTTGACTACGAAATTCAACTGTTGTTGATTAAATATGTAATGGCTACTAAATTATATGGCAATATTTCGAAACTTCTTGACTTTAAATTTCTTCATAGGCTGAAATCAAATAGATATTTATTCTAATAATTTCAGTTCACTTTTGGATACTAAGGAGGAATAGCTTCATCCGCTAAATGATAAAAATTACTCTTACAACCTTGGTGCATATGTATTGCAGAAGCTGGGAGCTAACTAATCTTCACAGAAATCTGGAAATCAAAAATCAAAACTGAGGGATTGTGTAATTTTGTCGTTCACTTCGGCACTTGTGTATTTCACAAGTGATTATCAGAAGTCATTAGTTATTCTAATGGATACTTGAAAGAACAGTTTGAACTTTGATTTGATTTTCACAGATCTCTATTTAATTTGGTAAGCCAAAGATGCGAGTTACTGACATAAAATATGAAAAACTTAAACATAAGGTCCAGTCGTTTTAGTGCCCAAATATTCCCTGAAGGTTTAAACTATCAGAAAATAATACTTTTTTGACAACTCGGAACCGCATAAATTCGCTTGAAAAGCTACTCTAGGCTATCAAATTCATGAGTTCGTGTACTGGCGAGAAGATTTTTAAAGAAATTATAAGATATTTCATTCAATCATAGTTACATACTGTTGATGATATAGCAGTTAAGAAAAATCTTTCACTACAAAAATTAAACTAGTTTAACGAGGATTCATTAAGGCTACAAGAAACTAAGCTGAAGGTCGTATGAATATGTTATAAGGTTTTTTCTCCCTCCTTTCCGCATGCCTTCGTGGTGTAAATGGAAGGATACGAGAGGTTAAGGGTTCGAGTTCGGATGCGGGCATTGCGCATTTTTCACGTTTCCTGCTTCAAAAAAACCTAATGACTGTACAGGAGTTGTGACATCACGCCTATTGATTATAACTGCTAAATCTTAAGTATCTTAATTTCGATTTGTCAGTTATATATACTGAAATTGACAGTTACGCACACATTAAAATTAATAATGGGAAGAAAATCGCAATAGTTTAAAAAATGGGATGCTGCATTTTAGAAAGGCTCTAATACATCAATCTTTTGGAATTTTGTTAATAATTGGCATTACAGTCTTTTCACTCAGAAAAGATATCTCCCCCCCCCCATTTTTAAAAGATTTTAAAAGATCGTTTTTTTGTCAATGGACTTAAGATTTTAAAAAACCTTTTAAACACTAAGAACGTCGGAATACTATCTTGTTCAAATATTAGTTTAAATTATATTTATCAGAACATAAAAAACTCTTTTTTTTAGGTTTCATATACTGTATCAATATATTTGTTTGCCGCCTCGATAGAATAGTAGTTAGCAATTTTGACTGCCGTTCGTATCTTGGAGAAGGCGGGGATGTCCATAAATGTATAGCGCCTTTGCGGCATGGGGGCACTCTAAACATATAGTGTGCACTAAAGATATAGTGTGGGGGCACTCTAAACATGGCACGTTATAGTATATAGCGAGCCGAAAGTCCTCTCGTGTAATTCGTTCATAGGGAAGAAGTTTTGAAGACCTCCTTGCTCTCCCTCAAAATTGGGGTGGAATTAGAAGGCCAACTTCCTTGAGGCTCCACCAACCATTCTTATAAGAAATATGTACTCGGCAGCAAATAAAGTTTGTTTGATTAAATATCATATTTAAGAAATATTTTTATCTACAAATCAAAACAAGGAAGCACGAGTATCTTCATGTTAATTATGAAAGCATAAGTTCAGAAGAGACCTATAACTTTTCTACACTGAAAATAA